TTCCGACAAGCGCAGTCTGCTCTGATTGGCCAGCTGACCCAGTGCATTGTGATTGGCCGGACACCGCAAGCACTCGTCGGAAACGTAATGCCCCTTACCATAATCGCGAGCTTCATCGTTCAAAATAAATGTAAAGACAGTAAATAATGTCATTAGTTTTACCATCAGTTCAAGCCTGAAAGGGCAACAGACACAGTAATGATGCAGTACACAAACCGCGGTTAAGACAGCTGACTCTACTGTGATGTGATGCTCTCTCTCTCTCTCTCTCTCACACACACACACGTGCGCGCACGCACACACATGCACGCACGCACACACACACAATGCGCAAAACTCCGCATTTGAACAGTCAATAGCAAAAACTTAAACTTAAACTTAAACTGATTCAGAAGCGCCAGATTGTCATAGCAAAGTGAGAATGACCTCCTCTCCTAGGTTCACGAAACGGTCGTCCATAAAATGCATTGCTGTTCTGTTGTAAGTCATCTTAAAGATTCCTAAATGCATCTACTTTCGGAAGGCCAAATAAAGTGCTTTTGCTTTCGCCTAGAAACACACAGCGTCTCCCTGACATGCTGCTTCAACACTAACTGCGGTTACTGAAACCACGCCTTCTTTCTTTGCGTGCACATTTGGGCGGCAGTATGCAAATATTTCCACACAGTGAGGTAGATATGTGGGGGCATGTTAGAACGAGCCGTTTTAGGGGGGTGTGGCAGAGTCTTAACTTTGATAAAGAATATCTCTTTGGATTTGAGACTTTAGTCTTTGCAACTTCAGGGATCTTATCTATGCACAATCAGCTTGTAACACTCCAAAGAGAAAGGAAAACTTGAAATCGCATCATATGACCCCTTTAACAAGAAATCCATGTTTCTTAAAGTGATACAGTGAAAAAAAATAAAATGTAAAAATTACATAATAATAATAATAATAATAATAATAATTTTATACATATTCTTTCTTTCAATAATATGGCATATTTTAGTGATTTAAAAAACATTAAATAGAAATTATACATATATTAAAAAACATTTATATTTACAAAAATCACTCATATAAACATTTTATTTGTGTAACATGTATGAATTAAAGATCATGTATTTCACTATACAGTATATATTATACATATATTTACACACACACACACACACACACACACACACACACACACACACACACACACTATATATATATATAGTTACACATACTATTATCTCAACTAACTAACTAACCAACTTACTAACTAAATATATATAATAATAATAAACAAAATGTTTCACTAAGAAAACAAATACAAATTTGAAATACAAGTTTCCTTCTGCCCAGAAACCATCTAAACAAATCAATTTGCTAAAACCAGTTGGACTTCCAAACTCTATTTGGGAATTCAGAATACAACAAATCACAAAATACTAAAAAGAAGATGAACAACATTCTAAATGCACTCAAATTGACTTGGGATAGGTGGTTTCTATCTGGTTCACCCCTGGCTAGGACAGCAGCAGTTCACTAGGTTTTGTATCAGAGTAAGACGGAGAGCTGAGAGAGCTGAGCTGAGTGGGGTTAAACGGATTGTGTCTGCTCAACTTTTAAGAGGAATAACTTTTAAAGTTGAAACTTTAGTGAGGAAGTGCCTGCGGGGAGAGAGAGAGACAGACATGAGATCCATTACACAACAGCAAACAGAGGAGATTCACATCCATGGCCTGTCTCTCTCTTTATCGCTGCTCACTGCTCCAAACACCAGCAAACAGATTAAACTGCCACGCTGATGGCTCCTGATTACATACATTCATGTCACCTGTCAGTTTCTTAAATATTCTCACAGCCAGTTTGTAGTGTGTCCACTGTTACAGTGATTGAAACAAATGAAAGGCCATGTTTATGTGCCTCATTACGTACACTAGCAATAAACAAATCAACTAAAAGCTTTAAAGTAAACAAGAAACAATTTTTGCAATCAATTTAGCTTTTGTAATGTGACATATTTCAGAGCTGCCATGTTATCTAGTATTAAAGGATGACAGAGCTAATAACCAATAGCCCACATGGCCTGGGTAACGTCAGCTAAGCTAAGCTAAGCAAAAATAAAACAAAACAAAGCAAAACAAGACAAGACAAAATAAAATAGCCTGGGTGACGTCAGCTGAAAAAAATCAAAACATATCTTTTCATTAGAATAACGTGCAAATATGAATAATTCACGACAAAGTTTTTATTGAAAAACCTAAAACTATTTTAAAAAATATATTTTTATTGAAATTAAATCTGTTAATTAAAATACAACTGAACAAAAATATATATAAAAATATATGATTGAAAACTTAAATTTAAAACAACTTAAATGAAAATTGGAATTCCTTGTCAACTAACTTTACTAAGTACTAAAATTACTCAAATTAAAATTGAAATAACATAAATTAGAGCTAAAAAGAATCACAAATAAAAATCACAAAAACATACATTTACTACAAGTTAACTGAAATTCAAATAAAATAAAGACAATACAAAAAATAAAAGATCATTTAAAAATGTATAAATACTATGATATCATATAATTAAATAATTGGAAATGTTGCCCTGTTAACTAAATGAAAAAAAAAACATGTTGAAGTACTAAAATTACCAAAACTTCAACTGAAATAGCTTAATAGATTAAAAAAGCTAATAAAAATGACAAAGCATAAAGTTAATAAAACTGAACTAGAATAAAAATAAAACCTAAAATGTAAAAAAATAAAAGCTAATTAAAAAAATACAAAAACTATATTAATAGTATATAAAAAATACTAAAATAGCAGATAATACCAGAAACACAAGACAGCACCATGGCTTAAAGGGGTCATATGATGCTGCTAAAAAGAACATTATTTTGTGTATTTGGTGTAATGAAATGTGTTTATGCGGTTTAAGGATAAAAAAACACATTATTTTCCACATACTGTACATTATTGTTTCTCCTCTATGCCCCACCTTTCTGAAACACGTGGATTTTTACAAAGCTCATCGGTCTGAAAAGCGAGGTGTGCTCTGATTGGCCAGCTATAAAGTGCGTTGTGGTTGGCCGAATTCCTCAAGTGTGTGACGGAAATGTTACGCCCCTCACCATACTGTGATACCTGCGGCAACCACATGTGACGACCCCGGGCTGGACTCCGCTTCGTCCACGGTGAAAGCCGATCCGGCGATTGACAGCGCGAAGTTGAAGTATTTCCTCAGCGACCAGCACGTATCAGCTCCAGGCATGACAAAGCTGATATCGTCCTCTTTTGGAAGACCAAACAAAGTAGTTTCGCTTTCACAACGAAACACACGGTGCCTTCACGACATGGCTGCGGCAACAACAATACTACAGCGAGAATAAAAGTTGAATAGCGTGAACATTTGGGCGGCGTTATGCAAATCTTCCCACATAGTGATGTAGACATGTGGGGGCGTGTTAGAACGAGCCATTTTAGGTAGGTGTGGCTGACTCTTATCATCTACTTTTATAAAGAACATCTCTTTGGATTTGAGACTTTAGTCTTTGCAACTTTACAGATCTTCTTTATGCACCAAGAGCTTGTAACACTCCAAAGAGAAAGGAAAAATTGAAATCGCATCATATGACCCCTTTAA